TTTTGATTCTAGATTTGCCACCAAAAAACGAGTTTAAAAAAATTAATCAAGTAATTAATATCGCACGAGTTGTGAAAATTTTTTGTTCCAATGGTTCGCCCATCACTAGTCCAACTTTCTGTTATTCCTAATTAGGGAAAACGGTCTTTTTCTCCATAAATTATATTGTTGCTGATTTTTTATACATGAAGTATTGAACCCGGCCAAAACACACATGAACTCGTATGTTTTTTGAATTTACTACATAATCTTTTAAAACTTGGTCAATTCACACAAAACCGTTAACGAAGTCAATTTTCTGTTTACAACGTTAACTCTCCGTTAACAGAGTCCGACGTGGAGGACATGTGGCTAACCTTTTCGGATCTAATAATTTTTTTTTTATGGTCAGTTCATAAAACGGTGCCGTTTTATGATTTGGGGGAAATTTTTTTCAATAGAACTTAGGGTTCATCGGGTTTGGTTTGGGGGGAGAGAAACAAATTTAGGAAGGTTGAGAGATAGAAAGAGAGATCGAAAGTGAGAAATTAGTTGTTTGTGGGTTTCGAATAGGGGCAATTTGATTGAGATAGAAGATTTCGCTATTGATCTCGAGGACTTTGTGTCTTCTCGTATGAACAGCTCCTTTCGCTCAAGATGACGACTCAATCGGCCAGAAACATCTGAAAAATAACTCATCCGACCGGTGATTTGAAGAACACGAGTTTTTTTTWWTYYWAARKTTTYSKTTYYTCCTCTGTTTTTKATAGTAGAAGCTACACAGAATGTTTTAATGGCGGTTGAATCAGAGTTTTGATATAGACAATATTAAGCCGTTGTTTTTGATTTCAGGTTTCAATCATCTTTTCTTCAGTATTATACAAAAAGTTTTGGATTGCTTGAATATCTAACAATGATCTTGAAAATAACTTGGCAAAAAAAAAAAATCTGTAATGATTTTTGGCTTATTCGATCTTTTTCTTCCATAAATCTTTAACAGTTTTAAGTTCCAATACCAAACAAGAAACGTTTTCATCAAAAACCAAAAGCATTCAAGGACAAAGTTGTCGATTACAAAATAAAAACCAGAAACAACATTACGAAACATATGTATCAATTTCCAGATTTCTTGATTATGGAAATGGCAGCAACAATCAGGTCACACCTCTCCTTGCATAACTCCATCTCCATATCAAACAAAGCCTTACTTAAATCATTCAACTTTTGGGCATTTTCATCTCCAATAATTAGCTTGTCCCTCTCCAAAAAGAGCTTTCAGGTAACAAATTTTCAGCAAGAATGGTGACCAGACGATTCTTCAAATAAGGATACTTGACCCAAAACTCTTCTTCAGTAACAATTTCTGTAACAGCAATACAAATTAAAACAGAGATGTAAGAGAGGATTATAAAAACTATCTTTAATTGCTTTTATTGACGCATCATAATGTTAATACAACCCTTCTTTCTCTGATTATAACAAACTTAAAACCTCTCAAAATTGAACAAAACAGATGATTCCTTAACGATCGATCTAGCTTCGTACGAGTA